AAAAATATTGAGTCTTTTTTGCTCTCTGGAATGGGCCTGGACTATGTGTTATGTTTCTGATGTATAACCATGCTCAAGATTTTAAATTTCCATTCAGCCATATCTCAACCACTTTCCCGGTAAGAAAATAAAAAACCCCAACAATTTAGAATTTCTGAATTGGAGAAATTTAATTATCTCAAGTTTATTCCTCCCTGGGAATTTTTTCCCAAATAATTCAAAACTGGATGGATGCCTTTCATTTATATAAAGAGGATGAAGAGCTATTTATTCTCTTTACCACACTCACAGAAAGTTAAGTTTTATAATTTCTCCTTACAGAAAAATTTATCACAAAAAAGCATTAGGCTAGAAAAAAAATGAATTTTTATACAGTTCTATGAAAGCTATTCCACTCCCTGTAGACAAAAAAACAAAAATATGATTACTAAATATCACAAAGCCTTCCACAATTTGGAAGAAAATTGTCATAAGCATACCACAATCTCTTCCCTAGCAGGAAGGTCAATTTCCAGAGCAAGTGAGATTCTTAAACCCCACCGACCCATGAAAATTTTAAAAGAAAGAAAAACCTAGAAAGAGCATGAAGAAATGTCATATCTGAAACTTTGAGATGACTTTATTGTATTAAAATCTATCAATAAGAGGACTAAGAAACCATCCTCTGTATACCCTCTGTCATCCAGAAAGCACCACCAACCAACCAGCTGCACAAACAAGAAATGCTGAAGTTACCTGAAGTCCTCCTTCTCTCTCATCTTCCACATCGAGCCCTGTTCTCTTGTATCCCTAAACATTTCTAGAATTCTTCCCCTTCCCTCCAGCAAATCTGCCATGGCCACCTCTCACCAGGGTTAGGGCAATAGCCTCCAGACAGGTCTTCCTGCCCCCAGTCTTCTTGTGACTTCCAATTCATTGCTCACAGAGCAGCCAGAGGGATCGTTCTTAAGCAAAAAAAAAAAAAAAAAAAAAAAAAAAAATATTAAAAAAAAAAAAAAAAAAAAAAAAAAAAAAAAACTTGATCATGTCTGATCCCCTGATTAACTCCCCAGGAAAAACATCCTAAAACCGTAATGTGATTTACAAGACCCTTGAAAATGTAAGCCGTGCTAATGGCTCCAGCATCGTCTTGGGACCCTGGCTGGCCCTTCACACTCAGTCTCGGTCTGCCCACCAGACTGAATAAAATTCCCTGTACCAGTCATACCCTCTCTTTGTTTCTGGGCTTCAGGGATGATAGAACAACCAAAAAAAATTGGGTTTATTGCTCTCATTTAACAAGAAGGCCACAGGTAGGCAGCAGCAGACACTGATGAACATTTCTGTGGTTTCACTGCCAGTGAATCTTCACCATCCTGACGCTATACTGACCCACATGTCATCCCTGGGACAAGGAGCCCTGGAGTCCTCTTTTGCCATGGGGCTTGGGCATTGTGAGCACAGCCTGGGGCCAAACTTATGCATATGCATACTAACAAAAATGTCGCCTGTGTAAAAAGCAAGAAGACAATGTCTTCCCAATTTTATGGGTTTTTTTTACAGTTAAAAGCAGGTAATATTCTTTATTCAAAAGAGATGTTAGACGAAAAAGAAAAAAATAAAGAAGAATTTCTAGACTTGAATCCAAAATGCTAATAAGAATTAAAAGAAGAAAAAGAAGTATATATTTGTTGTTCATTAAACTCTCATCATTTCAGGTTCAAAAACTCAAAATGAGGGAGGCGGTTTATCCACATTAAAAAAAAAGATAATATTGACTTGACTTTCAGCCCCTGCACCTGAGCTTTGAATTCACCCTTTTTCTTCGAGCAGTTTTTTTTTTTTTCATAGAGAGAAAGTTTCCACTCACTTTTTTCTCTTGGGTCACCCCCAAGTTCATACCAAGGGCTCAGAATGTAAAGCCATAAAAGAAAACGGCAGCAATGGTACTATAAATACAGAACCAAGAGTTTTAGATCCAGAGGGGTAGCATAGAACGGCAGGAAAAGGTCAGGTCAGAAGTCAGCTCCACCTCCTATGTGCTGTCTGGCCTAAGGCAGGCTGACTTAGCCTGAGTTGCAGCCTCCTCATCTGTCAAGGCAGGAAAAGGCTCACCTTACAGAGATGTGAGAAAACAGATGTGAAGTTCTAGCATAGTACTTCACTCAAGGGTTTAGAGTTGCTTACTTTTTAGCCACCAACACTTCTATCAATGAGAAGGCAATTATCCTAGGAAAAGCAAACTGCACTCATGTACTGCTCACCACTAATCAATGAGACCAGCACAGTCACCCCACAGAGAAGTTGACTTGTTTTTGTTTTGTTTAGCTTGCCTGTTCTTTACTGTTTTAGCACTTGGAAAAGGATAAATTTTACAAATGAAAATTTTTCATCAATTAAAATAAGAATATATATATATATACACACACACATATATATGTGTATATATATATGTGTGTGTGTGTTGTGTGTGCATATATATATATATATAAAGTATGATGCTATATCTGGAAGGATTTGTAGGAAAGGAGTCATAGCACTGCCTCTGGAAAGGGCAACTGAGGGACTGAGGACAGGAAAAGAAAGGAGACCTTGGCATTTTTAACTTGAGCGTATGTTAGCAGTCCCAAATAAGTAGATTTTAACTATTAGCATATAACAGTAAATAAAGGCCTCTACATCATTTAAGGTCCAGCTCAACATCCAACTTGCCTCAACCAAATATTTGTGAGGCAAGCCCTATTACCCATGAGGCCTTTACTGACCTCATGGCTTTTCCTGCCTGACCTCTCTTTTCTTTGAATGTCTATTGCTCTCATCTCTGTAAGTTAGCTTCCAATTTCATCTAATGTAATTGTTTGTTAACTGGTTCCAGAAAGCCAGGCATATCTCTCCAATGGACTACAAACCCCTTAAGGGCAAGGAAGAAGTCTTCTGAATTCCTATTGCCCTCAGCCTCATCCCAGAAATGAAGACCATACATTCTTATTGATGAATCACTTGCCTGATGTAACCCACAGAGCAGTACCTGCAGTTACTCACAACATCGGCAGGTTTTCTTTATTTAGAAGCTATCATGAAGCAGAGCAGAAGGAGACTATCACTTTAAAGATGAGTCTTTATTTAGCTTAATAAAGGTTGCAAGTCATTAACCTTTTCAAATTTATTTTAAGCTTCTCGGGCTTTTCCTTCTGCTGAGTTGAATATTTGTTTTAGTTTTTTATTGAAGTAGGGTAATATTTCCTTTAAGGTTGGAAGGAAACAAAACACAGAAGATGGCAGGAAAGCAAAGCTCATCCCTTGACACCACAATTTTCTGAATCTGCAGTATTCATCCTCTTTTATATTAAAGCATAGGCAGAATTTTTCTGAAAAATCAGCAAGAAATCCATCAGGGCTCAAAGCACGCTGAGCAATAGAGAATTAAAGCTGGGAAAATTATTGAGATTTGCTCCATTCCTGTTTGTCATGAAATGAAATTAGTGCTCATAATACCAATTTGGACACACAGTGAATTTTGCTGAAAATAAGGCAGAGAGTCCCCACTAGGCAATGCAGACTGCCAGTGCTATAATAGATGTATGAACTTAAAGAGTTGTAGAAAGTGTGAGCTGTGCCTTGCAGGAGCCCAGAACAATGGGAAGGAGATGACAACCCAGGTCTGCTGTTTGTCCTCCCACCTGTACCACCAAAACCTTCCTTCCTTTAGTTGTCCCTAATTCTAGAAATGGCCACTCCACCCACCCAATTGTTCTGGTCCCCAAACAATGAGTCATACTTGATTTCTCTCTTAGGCTCACTCCTCACTTCCTGAAAGTGACCACTTCTCCCAGATGTCCTCGCTTCCAGCCTTGTTTAAGCCACCATCATCATCTCTCACTCAAACCACCACCAGAGCCTCTTAACTGGTCTCCCTGAAGACACCCTTTCCCCTTCTCCCCCATGTACCGTTTACATTCCACACAGCCTCAAAATAACCTTTTAATGAATGAAAAGCTGACTCTATCACTCTCTTCCAAAGCTTCCCGGTGTAATCAGACCAAATCTAAACTCACATTAGAGTCACCTGGAGAACTTTTTAAAAATGCTGATGCCTGGGTCCACAGAGATTCCGATTAAATTGGTGTGCTGTATGGCCTGAGCCAGCTCGATGACTGCAAAGTGCAGCCACGGTTGAAGACACTGCCAACCTGCCCAGTCTCATCTCCTTCCCCTCTCGCCTTGTTCGCTAGACTCCTACCTCAGTGGCTTCCTCTCCCTATCTCACTTGCCCACCTTATAGCCCTGACTTTGCAGGTTCCTCTGCTTGAACCAGTCTTCCCCTTGATCATCACTTAGGTTTCAGCTCAAATGTCACTCACTTCCTGAGGGACACCCTTCCAATATCTGCTAAAGCTGCCTACCACTGTGCATAGTATCAGCAAAGCATCGTTAAACAAATCGGCAGAGAACTGTGGAGGCACCTGAATAGTAAGGCGATTCTCACACTCACCCAGGGTAAATATCCCTACAACATTGCTGGTGTGCAGTGGGTGCCTATCAGCTGAATGAATGAATGAATGACAGATGAATCAATGAAGACAAGTGCCCTTAAACGTAAGTTCCTACTGAGGAGCCACCATCACACACCTGTCTGTGCTCTGATCGGACACACTGTGAGCAGCAGATATGAAATGCTGTTGAGGTAGGGCAAATTATATATGAAGATTCTAATATCTCAGACATCTTATTTTCTAAAAACGGAAAATGGAAACTGCTAACCTAGCTAATTTTCTTACAAAACAAAGGCAAGAACTAAGAAGATGTCTCATAGTAAATAAAACATGCCTGGATAAAATAAATAATGAGCCTTCCAGATTTATTAGTCAAACTCCTAAAAACGTGGCTGGTATTTAAGACCTTCCATAATTGGGTAGAAAAAGTACACTTTCGTATCCTCACACACTCTCCCCTCAAGTCATATTAAGTAGCTTAGCCCTTTTACAAAAGAAAAGTCATTTATGATTAATTAATCACACAGAGATTAGTAAGATTATGGTTTTCTCCTAACTATAACTCCTTTGGCTAACATTTCTGTATTTTTTCTCTCTCCTCTTTTCTTTCTTCTTTCCATTTCAGCTGGACATCCTCCACAGACGTTTGCGCTGCTTTCACCTTGGGACCCAGGCTAACAAGCGACTGGTAGTCTCTAATTCTCTGCGGGCTGAGTTAATCCAATTATACAATTAGCAGCCTGACGTTGAAAACCAAAAAATATCCTTGCCCTTGTTTGCCACACCTCAACACTGGATGGGAGTAACTGACAAGGTGGTCAGCCCCACATCAAAGTTTATTTTGAAAAGAGTACACTCCCAATAATTTCCATTCCTGGAAGTCCAATGAACAGTCCTTGTTGTTCTCCCATTTTCCTTTGGCAACTTCTGCCTATCTGTGAAATTTATTAATAGCTACATGTTTTCCTGTATTTCTCGGTGCTTGTTTTTCTGGAATCAGACTGAGGTAGGGTGCCTGTAAACGTCTGTACCAAAGGTATTTTTGAGTTGGTTCCTACAAGAAAAAGTCATGGTTAACAAGCTCCTTTCTTGGCTATAGGAAGAGAGGTAGGGGTTAAAGAGAGCAGGAGGACAAAGGAAGAAGAGTGAGCTGGGGAAACGATCCCAGAGGGCAAAGTGCAACGAAGTGGAGAAGAGAAATGATTTCAAAATAGCTCAACAGTATTCTCTGGAGACCAAAATGAAAGATGAAGAGAATCAGAGAGAAAAATAAAGGAATTGGTTAAGAGGAATGTTTTTTTCCTTTTCCAAGCTTCTAAGCAAAGAAAGAAATTTGTAAACTTTCAGGAAAGCTAGGTGAAGGTTTTATTATTATTCATATATGCAACTCTTTTAACTGTAATAATTTTACTATAATTGGTAACAGATTCTTTTCTCCTCTCCTGCTGTGTTCCCACTCCCTGTTCCCCCACCCAACGTCACCTCCAAGGCAAGATGATATCAACAATTATTATTTCTGTGGTTTTTTTTTTCCATTCTAGTTACATCATGTGCACTAAAAGTAAACATTTATAACGCAGCACATTGTGTAACAATACACTTCTCTATTTTGCTGGTCCTCAAAACTTCAAAAGTAATAAAACATTCTACATTTCCAAAAATTAAATGACTTGGTATTTCAAGTTCTTAGTAGAATGTTTCTTAGATCCTGAATTCCTGGAAACCTGTGAGGATAGCTCAAAAGAGACAAAATACCACAAAAGCACAACAAATAATGGCTGCAAAATGATTACAAGAACTTATTTGATTTCATAAGATTTAGCTCTGAACAGTCCTAGCCTCAAGTTCCCATACTTCTGTTTCTTATAATAAAATAATACAAGATAATAAGACTATATGCTTGAAGTTAAACTGTGTACACTCATGATCTTAATGAAACCTTCAGATATACATCAATATAAAATGGTATCAGATTAAAATTTACCAAATCTAAAACTAAATCTAAATTTTCATGTAAATCAAGCTAATAACAAAGCAATTTGCTTTATCAATTGAGTAACACCAAATGTAAAACCTTCCACTGCGTTTAAAACATGAAAACAATTGCTTTATTCAAAACTGTTCTGTACTATAAAGAACCACAAATATTTTAATTAAAAGAAGTAAGCCAAATTATAAGTTATACTTCTTAGTATCCCATGAGAAATATTTGGTTATTGACTTGCAGATCTGTGTTTATTTTCTTAAATATTGCAGAGTTTCTAAACAAGCCCCCAAATTATCTTTGTTTGATAAACAAAATAATAAGAATAACAATGGGGAAAACTCTCATGCTCATTGTTAAACATGTATTCTGGCAGGTCTTTGGAACTAGATTCTAAACTCTAATCTCAAAACATCTGCATTGCTTGCCCACAGAGTAGAGACTGGTTTTAATTCTATATATGGTAACATACCTTTTGGAGCAAATCCAACCATGATCAATAATAGCAGCAATGAGGATTAACTGATACACTTCATTTCTTAGAAGAAACAAATGCAGAGTGTGAATATACATTACTAAACTCTAATGATAGATCAATGTACCATAGTATCTGACACCGGGTCATGTGGGCTCTACTTCCAACGTATGCTGAGTCCAACCACCCTTTTCTATCTGTACCACTGCCAGCCTCATCCAAGCCATTGTCCCTCACATGGACAGCTACCATAGCCTCTTCAACAGCCTCTCTGATTTCTTCTGGATCCTCTGCAATTCGTTTTCCTACTCCAAAGTCAGAGGAATTTTTTAAAACTGTCTAACAGATCATGACACTCCCCTGTACTTTTTTCCCTACCCTTCCTCCTCCTAACAATTCTTTTCCTACAGAAATGGAGAGGCTGAGCAAACAACTTACTATTGCTATTGTCTCATTCTTAAGCTCTAATGAGAACCAGGCTAAGAAAAGTGATCTCAAAAATTAACACATTTTAAGCAGTGATATCCTGCTACTCTCAAAATTTGGAACAGAAAAATGACAAATTATTAATACCTCCTTCAACCAGAAGCCACATGTCTGATGAGCCCAACTTTCCAGAATACTGCTGAGAAGAACTAGAGATGGGAGACATGAAACAGGAGACTTGTGGGTATCATGAAGTCTATATATTAAGTTTTCTTTGTATTTTAGACAAATCTAATAAACTCGGCCATCTATTTTTCTACAGATAACCATGGAGAATTTATTTTGGGAGACTGGAGACTCTTGGGGCAGCCACGTAGGTAGCATCAGAAAATGAACACAAATAGCCTAACAGAGAAAGAAGACAGCAAAACCATGAAAAATAAGCATGAGAATTCAAAAAAATACAATATGTGGTCTTCCACATAATAAAAACTCTACCTGGAGTAAACTCAAAGTGTACCACTGTATAACAGCATGATATTTCCCAAATGATATTGAGATAATATGAAAATATTAGATTATATTCCTAATACTTTATTAAGATGGGGGAAATGTACAATATGTTTTAGTAAATTTTCTAACAAAAGTGGTTGGAATAGTTTTAAGTGATGGTGCTTAAAAGGTTACAATTCATTCATCCCTTAAATGAAAATTTCACTCAGCCATGACAGTGGTAATTAAGTGAACAAATAGATTGAATGGCAAAGAAATGAACTGATTTTCTGCTAAACGGAATCATTTCTGTCAACAGCGTGCTCAGCCTCAAGACAGTGCTCAAGGCTTCCCACAAGCAGACAGGCCAGCAGAAGGAAGGAGGCCTTCCAGTGTGGATGAAAGGTAGGAGGTTTTGTGTCCTGCACTACCTGGAAGTTCCCTGATACCTGATGAGCCAAGAGGTTAAGGTTTTGTGCCTATCTGGCATGTTCTTGTAAGCTTTTTTCACTGGACCTGTTTCCTCTTTGGATTGTTCCTCCTTCTTCTACTCCTACACAGAAAGGCTGCCTACTGCTTAGAAGAACTTTGCTTTTCTTCATTCAAAAAATATTTATTGAGCATCTACTACACAGCAGTCTCTGTTCTGGATGTTGAGGATGCAGCAGTGAACAAGAAGGCCCTGGAATAAACAGCTTACACCAGCTCTGCTCTAGACCTTAGGGATCCAGGCTCTCCATTGTCTCCTTTATCTTTGTGGCAGGTCCCTGTGTGGCTTACAGGTGGTCTGGTCCAACTCACCAGGGGCAGAGTAATAGGCCTAAGTCTTACAACAAAATTATATTTTAGGAAAGCATCACTTTCCCAAAAATGGACATACTCACTGGATCATGGCTTAACTAATCTTAATATCACTGAACTTATGGTGAGTCATTCCCCACATTCACTAACAAGTATTTATTGAGCATTTATTATGTGCACTGTAATACACATTTCAGATATATTGGTGAACAAAAAAAAAGAAAGATGCCTGACCTGTGCCACTTACTTGGGGGATAAAGGGACAAATACTCAATAAGCAATGAACATAAGTAAATTATTTAGTGTTTTAGATAATCATTAGTGCTTTTTTTTTTAAAGTGCAACAAAGTAAGGGGAATCAAGGATGCCAGGGGTCAGGTAGGCTAATTAAAATGTTAAACTATGCTCAGTAAACAAGTATACATTTATGACTTGATAACTTTATCTTCTCTGTTTTCTTTACAGTTGTTCTAATGATGGATTTAGTTGGGCTTAGGACATGGCTCACACCTACCTAACAGTTCATCTGCCTAAAAAGCAGCAAATTTTCCAAAAATATCCAATCTGTACCTTATTTCTTAAAATAATCATATGCTACTTTTTCTTTTATTGAAATAAAGTTATTTGTTTTGAATCAAAAGGTTACCATCAGAAATTAAGTTAACCTGAGGCAGAGAAGGGCTATGAAGAGCAAACTAAAAGATTGACAAATGTCTACCTGAGGAAACTACAGTATGTGGCTACAATGCACTGGCCATGAGCTAATACACTTAGGCTCCTAAATTGGCTGACTGGGATTCCAAAGAATTAGAGCTAAAGGATGTATGACAGTGAGGCAGGCCAACACTAGATGTTCTGCTCTGAAATGCCTATCTTATTTGTAAGTTTCTGTATTAATATATTGGGAACCCTAGGTTTTGTGATGCTGTTAGACAACTAACACCTGGAACCTGAAGACTAAGCCTGGTTGAGGTGAAAATCACAGGGTAGTTATTTCCACTGTCATGTAGGACACATGACAAGGTTAGAATAGAGATTTTTTTAATTTTCCAAATTAGAAGGTGATATAAGCCTATGCAGAGGAGAGGCAGGACTCTTCTGACATGTGGCCTTATAAGCCCATCACTCCTTTGTGAGGGATAAGGCAATATTGGAAACTGTATCTGATATGGTTTGGCTGTGTCCCCACCCAAATCTCATCTTGAATTTGTAGCTCCCATAATCCCCACATGTCACGGGAGGGGCCTGGTGGGAGGTAATGGAATTATGGGGTAGGGTTTTTCCCATGTTGTTCTCATGGTAGTAAGTCTCATGAATGCTGATGGTTTTATAAGGGGGTTCCCCTTCACACACACTCTTGCTTGCCACCCTGTAAGATGTGTCTTTGCTCATCCTTTGCCTTCCACCATGATAGTGAGGCCTCCTCAGCCACGTGGAACTATGAGTCCATTAAACCTTTTTTTCTTTATGAATTACCCAGTCTCAAGGACTTCTTTATAGCAGTAAGAAAATGGACTAATACAGTAAACTGGTACTGGGAGTGAGGTGCTGCTGTAAAGATACCCGAAAATGTGGAAGTGACTTTGGAACCGAGTAAGAGGCAGAGGTTGGAGCAGTTTGGAGGGCTCAGAAGAAGATAGAAAAATGTCTTCCTCAGAAGACAGGAAGATGTGGGAAAGTTTGGAACTTCCTAGATATTTTTTGAATGGCTTTGGCAAAAATGCTGATAGTGACATAGACAATAAACTCCAGGCTGAGGTGGTCTCAGACGGAGATGAGGAACTTGGGAATTGGAGCAAAGGTGACTCTTGGTATGCTTTAGCAAAGAGACTGGTGGCATTTTGCCCCTGCCCTAGAGATCTGTGGAACCTTGAACTTGAGAGAGATAATTTAGGATATCTAGAGGAAGAAATTTCTAAGCAGCAAAGTGTTCAAGAGGAAGCAGAGCATAAAAGTTTGAAAAATTTGCAGTCTCATAATGCAATAGAAAAGAAAACTCCATTTTCTTGGGAGAAATTCAAGTCAGCTGCAGAAACTTGCAAAAGTAACGAGGAGCCAAATGTTAATTGCCAAGACAATGGGGAAAATGTCTCCAGAGCATGTCAGCACATTGAGGCAGCACCCCCCCCCATCACAGGCCCAGAGGCCTAGAGGGGAAAAATAGTTTCATGGATCAGGTCCAGAACCCCCCTGCTGTGTGAACCTAGGACTTGGTACCCTGTGTCCCAGCCAATCCAGCCGTGGCTAAAACGGGCCAAGGTACAACTTGGGTCTTGGCTTCAGTGGGTGTAAGCCCCAAGCCTCGGTAGTTTCCACATGATGTTGGTCCTGCAGATGCACAGAAAATAAGAATTGAGGTTTGGGAACCTCCACTTAGATTTCAGAGAATGTATGGAAATGCCTAGATGGTCAGGCAGAAGTATGCTGTAGGGGCAGAGCCCTCATGGAGAACCTCTGCTAGGGCAGTGCAGAAGGGAAACGTGGGGTTAGAGCCCCCTCATAGAGTTCCCATAGGGACGCTTCCTAGTGGAGCTGTGAGAAGAGGGCCACCATTCTCCAGAACCCAGAATGGTAGATCCACTGACAGCTTGCACCATGCATCTGGAAAAGCTGTGGACACTCAACACCAGCAGTGAAAGTGGCTGCAAAGCCAAGTGGAGCGCTACCCAAGGTTGTGAGAGCACACCTCTTGCATCGGCAGGACCAGGACGTGAGACGTGGAGTCAAAGAAGACTATTTCAGACCTTTAAGATTTAATTACTGCCCTAATGGATTTCCAACTTGCATAGGGCTTGTAGCCCCTTTGTTTGGGCCAATTTCTCCCATTTGGAAGGGGTATATTTACTGAATGCCTGTACCCCCATTGTATGTAGGAGGTAACTAACTTGCTTTTGATTTTACAGGCTCATAAGCAGAGGGAACTTGCCTTGTCTCAGATGAGACTTTGGACTGTGAACTTTTGGGTTAATGCTGAAATGAGTTAAGACTTTGGGGGACTGTTGGGAAGGCATGATTGGTTTTGAAATGTGAGGACATAAGATTCGGAAGGGCCAGGATGAAATGATATAGTTTGGCTGTGTCCCAACACAATTCATCTTGAACTGTAGCTCCCATAATCCCCACAAGCAATGGGAGGGTCTCAGTGGGAGGTAACTGAATCATGGGGGTGGGTCTTTTCCCATGCTGTTCTCCTGATAGTGAGTGAGTCTCATGAGATCTGATGGTTTCATAAAGGGCAGTTCACCTGCACATGCTCTCTTCCCTGCCACCATGTAAGACATGGCTTTGCTCTTTGATATGGTTTGGCTGTGTTCTCACCCAAATCTCATCTTGAATTGTAACTCCCACTATTCCCATGTGATGTGGGAGGTGATTGAATTATGGGGGTGAGTCTTTTCTGCACTGTTCTCATGATAAAGAATGAATCTCACACAATCTGATGGTTTTACAAAGGGGAGCTTCCCTGCACAAACTATCTTCTCTTGTCTGCCACTATGTGAGATGCGCTTTTCACCTTCTGCCATGACTGTGAGACCTTCCCAGCCATGTGAAACTGTAAGCCCAATAAACCTCTCTTTTGTAAATTGCCCAGTCTCAGGTATGTCTTTATCAGCAGCATGAAAACATGCCTCTTTCACCTTATGCCATGATTATAAGGCCTCCCCTGTCACATGAAACTGTGAGACCATTAAACCTCTTTTTCTTTAAAAATTACCCAATCTCAGGTATTTCTTCATAGTAGTATGAAAATGGACTAATACAGTATCCATTTTACCATCAGATATATTTTTTTGTCCTAAGTTGGAGTATATCTTTTATCCGAGATAAGTAAAAGCTACAACTCTTAGTGCAAATATGTGTCCAAGTGCCTCATGCCTGCTAAGCAGAGGGATCCTGGGCTCTCATAGCTTAAACACACAGTGGTATTTATTTTACTGGTCTACTTCTCCTGAAGACCTACAAGGGGCTATAACCTCAGTAGTTGGCAAAACAACATATTAAAATTCCTCACTGATCACTAACCTAAAATCCCTGCTTTTGAGATTAATATGGCAGACATCCTTAGCAGGCCTAAATAGAATGGCCTTATAAGTGGACCCAAAGGGCTTCCAAATCATGAGTTAGCCAAATGGTTAGCATCTCCAGTCCTTTATGCTAATGTACTTTGGAAGGTGACCTGGACACCATCAACAAAAGCCCTGCTTTACCCACCACTGGGGAATGAGGTCCCAGTGGGAATGAGGTCCCAGGAATGAGAATGGTCATGGCCCCACTGGCAAGTAAAGATGTTTTAAAAGGCTCTCAAGCATACTTGCCTGCCTGTCTACCTCAACCCTCAAAGGCAGAACTACCCTATTTTCTGTGTCTTCACTACCAGGGGTCTTCTTCAGAGCTAGGTGCCTATCTCCATGCATTTATTGTTGCCAGATATTCAGAAGCTGCTTCTTCGTTGTCACACATTTCTGGATATAAACTTGAGTTCAGTCCGTACCAGAAAATTAATAATAACTGTAGTTTTTATGCAAATACCAAAAATTTCCTCTGTCAGTGGAAGCTAAGCAAAACAATCAGATATGAGTAAACTTTTCAAAGCTTTGTTAATTTGACAGTAAAAAGAATTTAAAGTTTTAAAACGTTAAGCCTTAAAACTTTTGTTTATTTTAAAATGGATTAGTCCTTTTGTGATAGTGATATGGTCTGGCTATGTCCCCAACCAAATCTCGTCTTAAATTATAGCTCCCATAATTCCCATGTGTTGTGGAAGGGACCCAGTGGGAGATACCTGAATCACGGTGGAAGTTTCCCCCACACTGTTCTCATGGTAGTGAACAAGTCTCATAAGATCTGATGATTTTATAAGAGGTTTCCCTTTTGCTTGGTTCTTATTCTTTCTTGTATGCCACCATGTAAGACGTCCTTTTGCCTTTCTCCACGATTGTGAGGCCTTTCTAGCCATGTGGAACTATAAATCTATTTTTTTTATAAAAAATTTTTCTTTATAAATTACCTAGTACCAGGTATGTCTTTATCAGCAGCGTGAAAATGGACTAATACAGATTAGCCAGCCTGCAAAATGACCCAGTGATTCCCGCCTTCTGGTATTCATACCCCTTTGTGGAGACCTACCCCACCTCACCTCACCCAGGGTGACCTATATAACCAATCGGATATTAGTGAAATGGCAGAGGAGCATGACTTCCAAGAGCCAAGTCATAAAAGACATTATGGCTTCCACCTTGCTTTAGGAGTGCAAGGAGTGTTCCCCTGGGAGAAGGAGTGTTCCCTCTGTAGAGACACTAGCCTCCATGCCTCAAGGTCCATCAGGCAGCTAATAAAAACAGTCAAATAGGAAAAATTTGAGACCTATCGTCAACCAGCACCACATGAGTGAGCCATCTTGGAAGCAGAACCCCTGGGCCTAGTCTAGCCTTAAGCGACTCCAGCCTCAGCTGATAACTTGAGAGGTCATGAGAGACCCCAAGCCAGAGCTATTCTGCTAAGGTACTCCCAAATCCTTGACCAAGAGAAATTTATGAGATAATAAATGTTTATTGTTTTAAGCTGCTAAATTCTGGGGTAATTTGTTAGGAATCAATAGACAACTAATATAAACT